CATCAAACGTTGTAGCAAACGACTGGAACTTCACGGGACGCTTCACGTTGATCTCAGACTGAAGGCAGACGGGGGGTGGACCGGGTCCAGGAGGGTCCAGGAGGGTCCAAGCTGGGAGCTCAACACTCTGAAGACATTTATTTAAAGGCTTTGGGACATTTCTGCGTTCTCCTCTCTGTCACAACATTTAGACTGCAAAGTTTTATGATCCATTCAGACACTCCTCTCCACTACGAAGCTCAGTGTGGTAGTAGCTGAGAGTCATCCCCAACAAGGAACTGATGACGAGTCAGGAAGATGACTGGAGTTTAAAGCTCTGGACTGAAAGGTGGCGGGTGATAGGCATTCTCGCAGGACATTTAATTCCAGTTTCAGATTTGAGCTGAATGAAAACAGACGGCAGGTTCGTTAAATCCTGACAAATTATTTATTCAGAATAAACTGCAGAAATCTGAAGAAACGTTTGTGTAGAAAAGATCGATTCTCTTACAAATCCCTCAGGAAGCTGCGGCGCCGACCTAAAGTTTAACGTCTGTGCAAACAAAACCAAGAAGCCAGTAGAACGTCACATCCAGTAACAGAACGGAGAAAAGAGCGTGCACGAGTGCACGAGGGGAGTGAACGATCCGTTGTCAATACGAGCGGAGCCTCGGGGGGTCTCCTGAAGTCACAAAACGATTCCCTGAACAGAAATAATCTGTAATCTGGAGGAGGCTCGCCGTTCAAACTCTCCTTTAAACGACTTCAACACGACGTGCACGTGACTGGGCTGCTGAGGAGAAGCCCAGTCACGTGCACGTGACTGAGCTGCTGAGTATGTCCTCAGGACCAGCTCCTAAACTTCTCGCTGAGCAGGTGAATCATCTGCAGCTCTTCAACCAAACTGCTCAGGGGCCACACATCCAGCAGTTACGGTCATTTAGTTTATGGATTAAAGTCTGGTTTTACTTCAAATGACACCGTTGGGCCCAACTGAGCTCCCCTGCGGGCCTGATCTGGCCCCCGGGCCGCCGCTTGAACAGCCCTGACCTCGTTCATGTCGGTGAGTCGCTCTAAAGGATCGACGCATAAATCATCCAACCTGTTTGTTCCCAAACAGAAAAAAAGGCGATGACAAGTCTGTAAATGTTCAAGAATACCAACCACAGTTTTCCCTTTTCTGTAGAAATAATCTGTCTCTGGCGCCGTCAGATTATCGGCTGCTGTGGCCGTTTCATGACAGCTTTTAACTCGGGAGTTATCAGTACGATCTCGATGCAGATTTGTAAATAAAAAGTTTATTCAGCCGTTTTTAGACTTTAACGTGTTCTGGTTTTTATTTTCACCCTGTTTCAGGTCAGATTACAGATAATCTGGCTCCTTGGACGGGAATTAAAAGAAACGGGGTCTGGATGAAGACTTTTGAACGCTAAAACGAAAACGCTGAAGTCCAGATGAATAAAAATCATTTGGTTTTCTTGATTTATCGACCCAAACAGAAATAAACTGACCTAATAATCCTGTATAAATAAAACTTAAAGGGATAGTTCAGCTCGTTTGAAGTGGGGTTCAGTGAAGCTTTAATATCTCAAATGTTGTTCGATCTCTGATGGAGCTCGGTTTGTTCAAACAGATTAATTCTGACCAGACCAACAACCTACCAGCTAATATGAAGTGAAGCACTTCAAATGGCTCTAATCCCTGTGAGGAAACTCAACATCTGATGGATTAAGCGTGCAATCTGAAGCTGATGGCGACGTAAAGGTAAAAGTTCAGTGAAAAGAGAAAAGCTGAAGAATTAACGTCACATCAGGAGCGACACGCCGACAGATTATCTTCCAGATGTGGTGCTTTTTTTGACAGAACACCTAATTCCCCTCAAAAAATATGAACAGAATATCGAGGATTATGTAGTTTCACATTCAAAGACTGTAGTTTTATAAATCCAGCCTTCTGTTTAGTAATTATGCTGATGTGACGTTTGCCCGGTTAAATCATCGTCCCTCTTTTTAATTAAACAATCCACGCGTCTGTTTCTACCATTATTTTGAAAGAACAAGGAAGTAGATAATACGGTCCTGGGTGGCCCCGCCCACAACGATCCGTCACTGTTGGAAACGAAGGACTAAAACAAAC